CCGCAATCAGTAATAATTGTTATTGTTTTTAAAAAAGAAAAAAATTATTTGTGAGTGAGTGTGTGTGTGTGTGTGTGTGTGTGTGTGTGTGTGTGTGTGTGAAACAATCCACGTGAATCAGATACGATTATATTGCCGTTCGAAAACACGATTAAGACCAATAATGATTCGAAATGTTAAACGAATTGCCGTAAACATAAAAATAAAATAAATATTATGTGAGAATGTCGTTTGGCTAACGGGATTTTGAAATCCACCTCTCATTCAGACACTACCATTTTTATGTGTGCATTAAATCATCAAAATGGCAAAATTTCTCGATACAAGTAACGGAGACTTGACTCAAATATTGTATCAACATAATTTATAAATGTCTGCTGTTGAGACTGAAATTCAATATCAACTTTAGTTTAAAAATGTAATTAGTAAACTTGTTTAGTATGTTTTTATAGATGTAGTGTTTGTTCAATGTAATTTCTGAAAAATTTTAATTGATTCTTATATTTATTTGACGAAGTGTTTGCTTTTTGGTCATTTTTTTTATTGTTATAACACGTTTTTTATAATTTTTTTTTTGCTGTTTAACTATAGACTCTTCACTTTCGGTTCAAAATAAAAATCGTACTTAAGTCAATTTGCTTTGATTTATTTATTCTAACCTTAAATATTTCATTATTTATAGCTATAATTGATAGTAAAAAAAAAGGATTTAAATTTTAAATAATGAGTTGATTTTTACCTAATTTTGGCAATAGCTCTTTTTACTAACAAAGATTAAATATACTTAAATATAAAACTTAAGTATATTTAATATATGTTACTAAGTATATTTAAATACATATCAGTTATACATAACACATTTTTTTAGGGCGTGAATTTCGTTCACTTTTATTGTATCAATTTTTTTTTTTTTTTACTAGATTTTGTTTTAGGTTTTACACATCATATTGAAAATGGTAAAAATAATCCAAAAACCTCACAAAATTCTAATGATTAATTAACAATTTAATAAGTACGGTAGAGATGTAATTTATTGAACTTTATAATAATTTATTAAAAAAAAAAAAAAAATTGAAACATAATTTGATCTATATGAACATTAATTAATTAATTAATTTTTTAAATTAAATATTTCTTATTTTATATTTGATATGCTTATGATGTAAATACCTATAATTTTTATTATTTTCAAACTTGATAAAAATTAGTACTAGACTAACAACCTTTACCCATTAGTTAAATTAAACAATTCCAATTGTTTAATTTATTTAATGAATTGTATTTCATTAAAATATGAGTGAAATTATTTTTGTATTGCTGTAATTTATCGTTTCCTAACCATACTTATTAGTCGCTATATTGTATATTTTCAAACACTATCAGCATTCCACTCATCTTTTGTAATAGATTTATGTTTGTTATGAAGGTTATTTTCTAGTAAAATAATTTAGTAAGACATCAACGTCGTTATTAATTTTATTCACAATGTACTAGCTTTAACCTACCTACGTAAGTCTGATCACTTAATGCAGATAATATTAAAACGTGTTCACATCCGTCGGTTTTTTTTTTTTAATATTACTGTACGTAAAATTAATTAAACTCATATAAATTCATATACGTTAATGAGTAGTTCACAAACATCAGAATGTTTATCCAATTAACATGTACTATATATACATGTGCACATTATAAACAGTGAAGTTCCCATTAAATTTGTTGAGAATATACTACGCCAACTTATGCCTATCTACTGTCTAAATATGGACTTTTTTTATAATTTAGCCGGTGGTGGTGAGAAAGGGTTGCAAGTATTAAAACAAATTAGAACGTTTACATTTTTATTTTTTACAGAAATAGAAATTAAAGCTATAATTATTGGTGGTGTATACCATGTATTTACAATGGTATCAATTTATTTACATTGTAAAAATACATGGTATATACCACCAATAATTATTTCATAGTATTATACCAATCATCTGAAGGAAAAATGAATGTCTATTACAAATTAAGGTTAAAATTAAAACTTGTAAAAGTAATTACATTTAATACTTTTCCGTGGAGTGTCTGTCACTTGAGAGTATACATAGTATACCTGTGAATTTTCAAAATTATGTTGAGAGTATACGTTGTATATGTAATATAACCTATAGGAATACCATTTATCAAAAACGTTGTTATTATGTTATTATATTTGTATGTCCTAAATATATGAAACGTCCGCAACGGATGATTTGATGGACAAATAATGTTGTACATGTATGTAACTTTTAAATATCCCATGGGAAGAAAAATTATTAATTATTGAATAATAACTGTATAAACGGCTGGTAAATTAACTATACTGCACAAGTGAGATATGTCATTGTTTAGCTCAAGGGTTCTTAATCTTTTGAAGTAAATGCCCTCTTTCGTACCATTTTATGATGTCACTCACCCTCACCATAATAAGATTGAATTATGATTAATATGTACCTATATATTTATTTATTTATATTTTTTAATAAATGCATCATAGCTATAATGGTTATTAGATTAATATGAATAATATGAAAATCAATGACGGTTTTGAAATATTTAATGAATTTATTTATTAGGAAAAATATTCTATTATAATTTAAAATTATTTATAATTCGTTAATGAGGTCGTTGCAACTTATAATTTACTGCAGAATGTCATTGAATATTGAAATATTTATTCATTTATTGAGTGTATTCGTCAGCTGAGTACATATTCTTTCTCTATGGGCCGAGTGCTCGATGGACGCGCCATGTCGTAGAATGCGCGAGAAGACGGCAGTGTGCTACTGTGCTAGGTGATACGTAATAATATTAGGGTTCGGATTTATAAACCCATAAGTGTATAAGTGTAATAAGTGTAATAAGTGCATAAGTGTATAAGTGTATGCTGATGTGTTGTAAATGTGACGATCAAGTGCATCTCCTTATAAAAATTAATAAAATTCGAAAAAGTTACAATTAACTTGTGTGACGTTTATATATAATCGATAAACCTATACATAATATATATTATACTTATATATACCTATATTATAACTATATATACATAGTTGATTTTATTAATTTCATATTTATTGTTCTAAACAAATTTGATGTTTATTTATTATTATTCTTGTAGTACGATAATAATATTACGAATTTAATATTAAAATTATGTTTTAAAATGTGTTTTTAATAATATTATAAATACATAATTATTAATATGTTTATATAATATTATAAAATCATATTTATCATAATATTATGTTATGTATCTTATAATTATGCAATTATAATGTTTTTAAAATAATATTTGTATTAACATAGAATAATAATATATTAATAGCATTATGATTACGGAAATGCTATCTGGGATTATTCGTATGGCTAAAAAACAGAAAACAAGTTATAATAATATATATGATAATTATAACAGTTAAATATCCATTAAAAACCGAAATATTTAAATGACTGTAGATGGTAGACACTTAGTAGTTATATAAAATTAATTAATACAAAATAAATTAATACTAGGTAAATAAATTAAAAGGTAAATTCAGATTTCCTGATATCAACTTATTATTCTTCACACCTTGTATACCTATAATATTTATTTATTTATTTTTTTTTATAGTTCACATATAGTATATTATCTTAGTCCGTGGCTCTAAATACGGATATAATACGAGTTGCGAAACGGCTTATACTAAACAACACGAAAAGCCGGGCGCCCGGGTCTGAATGTTAAAAACTGTGTTAAGTTCGTACTATAGTTTGAATGTTCGTACGCCTGGCAACACTGAATCCTATACACTATTATTCAGGAGTGCCAATCGACTCGAATGACAGCGAAAAATCAAACATGAACGAAATTCGTCAAAAAATTTGATTGTTAATCTACATCATTCCAGGCCCTATTATTTGTACAATTTCGGACTACACACTTGATTTTACTGCTTTAAATGAAAATTTAGTCTCGCTACTACCTTAGAAAAAGGAATATATTACATACATAATATATATATAAACATTAAATTTTAAAAAATTCAATAATACTCATATTTCCTAGTAGTTGGTTTATTATTTAATTTTTGTTTTGTAGACCGTAGTGCACACTTGTACATTCGTGGTACATATTGTGTGTCGGGGTGCACATAAAAATAGGACCTGCATTATTCTTACCAATACACCGCCAGTCTTGACTGCCAATAAAGAAGATTGTCATTCAAAATGCATAGTGTATGGCTTAACGTAAAAAAAAAAAAAATCGTTTATCGAGATTGACTCGTCACTAGGGTTGCCAACTCTTATTTACAGATAAGCGGGAAACCAGATATTTATATGCGGGACTTGACATAAAAAGCGGGATATGCTTATAAATTTACAGAAACAAGAGAAAACGATTTTAATAATTGTTATCAGTTGTATTTAAAATTTGAAATATTCATATAAAATTAATAGAATAGTCGCTATTTTAAAGTAATCATTACAAGTTTTTTTTTTTACACAAATTAGTAAATAAAGCACTTTCCCCAATTAAGAGTACTCTATCACAAGACAATTATTTTTTCTTTTTGAAAAAGTGCTTGTGTACTGAATACCTACTGAATTGAACGTATAAATACTACCAATTTTTGATTAAACCGGTACGTGCAATCGATTCTGTTGGAATTTCGGATGGAAAATAGTTTTAAATGAGCACAATAAAAATGTAAGGTTTCTATATAAAAATATTTATACAGGTTTACAAAAAGTGGGTCAATGAACGTCCCGCGGATACGCATCGTGGGACGTATTATTTCAACCCTGGAAATGGGACGTCCCGCCTTACGCGGGACGGTTGGCAACCCTACTCGTCACCTAGCGCTGGCCGAAATACGTTCGAAACAAATGCGACGTACCGCAACGGGGTTCCGTGGATACGGATGTTTCTAATCGAAACTGCGTATTTGGACAACGCAATTGTCGACTTGTCAGCGAGCTGTGCAGAACGATTCTTGAAAACAACAACAGCCACACAACCGTAACTTTCAAAAACCGTTGCGGGCGCAATTTTGAGACGTCACGTCGCGTAAGTACAGCTGCGTCCCACGACCCGAGGGCGCGGTTAGGCAGTCGATTCTGGGCGGCGCGCGCGCGCCAAGGCAGCGGTGTTGTTCCGCCGCGATCGTGTCCGCGAATGTGTCCCCAACCGCACCCGATCAAAGTATTGACATTTTTTCAGGCCAAACTTTAGCAGTCAATTAGCAACGGTTTGCAAGACCATTTCACAATTCGCAAGGCTTCAGTTAATTTGTTAGTTAGTTAGCATCGTTTGTTAGCCGGTTATGTTCTTCCGTATGTTTCGGTCCTCGATCAAAACCGATGGTAATCTTCTTCGTTATTATTTTTTCACAATTTACGAGAACAAGTCGGGTGTAGTGTCAAATAACATGTAAATAATATATTACATCGCGAACACACTGAGCTAACTACGTACAGATTTGTAAAAATGATCGCATTCGACTGAACAACACGTAGGTACTGTTCATTCTGTAGGTATGACAAAAAATATTTCTAACATGTCGAAAGAACGGACAGATCATGACTGCAGGAAAGTTGAATGTTAATGTTAATGTTAATTTAAAGTTAATTTTCAGTTATGAACATAATCATACATATCTGGTCGTTACATTCCAAGGGTGCGAGTTAATTCGGCACGTCAGGAATGACAGTGTACGACTGTACTCGTACGTGCATAAAGTGTTGTACCTAGACAGTCCAAATCTGCCGATCATATCGGCGGAATAGGAATGTCAATTCGAATTCGACAGTTAAACTCTTCGTGTACGGCCGGTTTTTTGAGTTTAAATGGCCGTTGACGTACGGTGTCCGATGCGCGACCGGTCGCCGCTCAACCCTTTATCAGAGTATCTACGGTGTCCTACGCGCGATAGCTGATTTTTTCGTCGTGGCTCGCGACAACGCGACCGTAGCCCACGTTGGAATTTCGGCAATTACATTTTCATCACATGAATATGAACTTTTCATCGAGAATGTACCAAAAGTTTTTCTAGACATTTTTTGTATTCATTCTGTTTTCTTATTTTAATAGTTGTAATTAATTGTTATTTTTCATTTTTTTTTTTTTTGTTAATTTTCATGTTTTTATTTTGTTGAGGTAATGGTTGATAATGATAATATATGTACATAACTATCGACCATTCATTATCTAATTGTTTTTTATATAATTTAAAATAAATAAAAATGTATCTATTCAAAAACGTATGTTGCACAGTTTTTAATAATATAACTGACTAGACATCAAAATATTTTCTCTGGGTAACATTAGCTCATTTATTCGAAAAATGCACTGCACAAATTGCACATTTTACCATAACTTCTCGTAACAAGCTCACCGACCAGGAGATTAAAAATAAATACTATATTTCATAGTACCTAGGTACTTCAACACATCTAATATCATCGTGATGAAGACCTATGAGTACAAATTATCTGAGCATATCTAGAATTCAGATGCATAATATCATTATTTTAGTTGAAAATATCTATTGCCTTGAAATTCAATTTTTCTTCTATAATTGTGAACATAATTTACAATCGGTCATCATTTATAGTTTTCCTTTATTTTTACTAAATTAGTTTTATAAAATTATTAGGTACTTACTATAGAATATTTACATTGTCCAAGTAAATATGTATAAATAGAAATATTTTTTACATAGATTTAAAGATGAGTGACTTACGAAGTGAAGACAACTCATTAATTATTGACTGCGGTTCGAGAACTTGCAAAGCCGGTTTTTCGTTACAGGAAAGGCCTTATGTAGTGTTCAAGACTGTAGTTGGAAAATATGTAAGTACCTGTAACAAATGATTTTATCAGTACTCTGCAACATTAAGTAAAATTACTTATATTTGTATTCCTTATTATAGAAGGAAGGTGTGTCTGATCAAGAAGGAAGCTTTCTAGGAGATGATGTTAAATCGATGAGAGATTTTCTTGACTTGAAATATCCTGTTGAACGAGGTATTGTGAACAATTGGGATGATATGGAAAATATTTTGAAATACACTATCGAGAAACGATTGAAAACAAACGCAATGCTACACCCAATAATGATAACTGAAAGTCCATCGAACCATAAAGCTAATCGTGAAAAGATGACCGAGGTAAATAATAATATTAAGAAGGTACTTCTTTCCGTCACGGTGGGATTCTGCACATCACACCTCGAAAATCGCATTTCCGTTATAGGGGACGAAAAATAACCCATCTTTTGAAATATTTTTTGCCTGTAAGTTAAAATAAATTTTCACCAATACTTAAAATATATGGATTTAATAGCCTGTAACACATATTGCTTTCTTAATATATAACGACTATCTTATAATTTGAAATTATCATTAACGGATTCTTGGCAATTTTTTTTATTTTTTTTTTTTGTCAAGTGGTCGTTCATTATTTTGTTTTTCTAATATCTTCACATAAAATCCATAAATATGAATTATATTATTAAAGATGATAGAATATATGATATAATTTCATACAATGATTTTAAAATCATTTTATCCATGACCATTCGGTTGAAATAACGTAAAATGCAGGCGTCCAATTTATAACCCACAATGCAGGAAGTGACTAAACGTTGGTACACAATATAAACAGAGGCGGATTTATGGCACTGCAGTATAGAGATAGGCAAAATACATCGATTTTTTAAAAATATCGTTGTTTGGTTCGATATATCAAAACCCTACATCAATGTTTTTATTGCGATGTATTGAAAAAAAAAATTGATTTTTTTCTAATCCGAAGTCCGATGTTCAAATATCGTATTTATTTTAAACATTTTACAATTTATACGTAACATACATACATATAACATAGATACAATTTTTCTTAAAACTTATTAAGGTAAACATCGATGTTTTTGTCGAAAATATCGATCACCCACATCGATAATTCAAATGTAGATAAATCGAAACATCGATTCAAACTTTTTTCCCATGTCTAATACATACCGGAGTCTAGGAAAATGTTAATTTTATAGAAACTGTTATATATGGCGTTATCGGTACCTACACTTTTACCGCGTATAGGTATATTCAATTTAATCACTCATTAGTTGGACAAAGAGTAACGCGTTACCGTATTATTATTGTAAATAGTATAACGATTATTTGAAAAGTGAATTCTACAAATTATCTGTTTATAATTTTATCGAATTTGTCGAAGTTGTCCGTCAATCGATAATTACATGTGTACATGTAAGTACATGTTTACTCGTAAATTTATTTAAGGATATTTTATAATGTAGAAGTTATTTTTTTTCTGGATAGGAACGGCAAATTTAATTTTGCATAGAGGCGGAAGATTTTTAAATTTACTTATAATTTATATCATAAATTACAAATTACTTTTTCATTTTATTTACTTTCTTTCTTTTTTTTTTTATTAAAAAACTAGTATAATATAGTTATTATTCTACACCTTTAAAATTATTTAAAATGAGTAATATAATATAAATGAGGGAAACATTTGTCAAGTAATATTCGGAGAAATTCCTTCTGTTGAGAATAGTGATTTTTTTGTGACGAATCTGATGATGAACAAAGATTACTTTTTGCCATGTCGTCCACTTGCAATTTCCGAATCTTTTTCAGGTACTGAGTACGGGGATTCAAACATTTTAGATTTGGATAGTAACAATATTTTTTACTACCTTCACTATTAAAAAAATTCGATACTCAATAAAAGAAACAATTATTTATAAAAATTTTGAAATTCTGGACAAAGTTTTATTTCGCTGTCATCGACTTTTTCCGGTATTAAATTCTGAAGAAGACATATCAAGTATTCAGTAGTAGTAGTAGTAGTAGCAGTAGTAGTATCAAGTATTACATACTTCCATGTACTTCTTCAAACTAACCAGTTAGCAACCAATAATAGACAGACCCTGTATAGAATCATGATCATAAATCATTCGCTGTACAGAACCACGAAGATCATGAAAATATTCCATTCGTAAGTTAACATAACAATCCTTGATACTAGATTATTTAAAATTAAAATGCAAATAACGTTCAAAACGCTATTTTGGCAGTCTGTGTCATTCTTGTGTCAGTTGTTGTCTTTAGTTACATTTGTCAATGAAATCCACACATCAAAGTATTTTAAGATTCGCTTTAAAAGGGGTCATAGGTGCAATTAGGAGGGATTAACCCCCTCCTCCCCATAAATATTCCATGTTATACATGGTATACTTAACTCATAATAGTGTCACATACAGAAAAATACATATTGCAGTAAATCCAACTAGGCTCAGAATCTAAAATATATTAACATGGTATACAAAGAGTAGGGGTAATCTACAGGTTATTTAAGTTTTGGTAGGAGGACTGTAGTTCCTCCAGATTTTTTACCCTAGTTGCGCCTATGGAAGGGACGAAGAACAAAGAGAATGATCGGGGAGACTAGAGCAATTTTTTATAAAATAATATGTATTCTTTAGTAATTATTATATTCAATAATATAAGAATAAAAAAAATCTATAAATTTAAATTATTTATTATATTTAATACAATTTTTAAAAATATTTTAATGTGTATTTTGTATATACTACGTAATAGGTACATTTTCTCATCATCAAATTAGTTATTTTAACAACTAAATATAAGTAATATTATAATTTATGTATTTTATTGTAATACTCAATAAAACCTACTACTTGCTGCATGGTTCCACATGTCATATCACCTATGTTAATTTTTTTTTGAAAACTAATAACATTTCTTCAAACATCAAAGTTCTTTAATATGATAAAGAAATATTTTAATTTTATACTTGAATCATATTTTTCCTGTAAAAATGGTACCCGTGTAGCCAAAGTATGGACAATTTTCAGATCCCTGTGCTGGAAAGAGTTAAAGTTTAAATTTTAAATATTATGTACGTTTTCTATATAGTTTTTGGCTTTTAAATCAAATTTACAGATCGTGTTTGAAAAGTTCAAAGCTCCTTATTTTTATGCTGCTAAACAAGCTGTACTTGCACTGTTCGCAACTGGTCGGACAACTGGAGTGGCCTTCGATTCTGGCGATGGAGTATCTCACAGCGTCCCGATCTTTGATGGATATGCTGTACCTTCTGTTACCCAATATTTAAATGTTGCTGGCCGTGATCTCACGGATTACTTAAGGAAAATGTTATCTGAACGTGGTTATAGTTTTGCAACTACCACTACACGAGACATTGTTGATGACATAAGGGAAAAATTGTGCTACGTAACTCCTGACTACGGTAAAGAAATCAATGCAATATCTTCCACGTTGGATAAATCCTACAGATTACCTGATGGACAATTAATCACGATTGGAAGTGAAAGGTATAAAGTGTGTTTTCCCTTATATGTTTATTTCATATATTATTTTCTTAAATATTTTTTTAATAATTATTTTAGATTCCGTTGCACAGAAGCTCTTTTCAAACCTTCATTCTTAGGAATGGAAAATCGTGGAATCCACAAAATCATTAACGATTCCCTGATGAAGTGTGATGTAGACTATCGTAGGCTAATGTCCTCCCATATTGTTATGTCTGGAGGTAACACATTATACCCGGGTTTTGCTTCAAGAATGCAAAAAGAAATTATGCAAGAAGATTTAACTACAGATGGAATAGAAAGAAAGATAATTTCTAAGCCCGAAAGATATCATTCGATATGGATAGGAGGTTCTATGTTGGCTTCTTTGCCAAGCTTTCGACGGTTTTGGATCTCCGGTGCCGAGTACGCCGAATCAGGTCCATCTATTGTGAATAGAAAATGTTTGTAAAAATATTTATATTAATAAATTATTATTAAAATTTGTTTATTATATTATCGTAAATAAGTAGCGTTTTTTTTATAGTATGCGTGTCGTGTAATTATTGTACACTAAACAAAAAACATGATAAAACGTAAAATTGTGTGTTGAATTCCGAAGATAACAAATTGTGCGTGCACGGAAAAAAATTTTGTTGATCTTACCAAAATATAACACTCACAACCAATATTTTTGGTTGTGCTTGTGACGACAATTCGTTTGGTTGAAGTTGCATACTGATTTTCGTGAACAGTATATTGTATTGACAAGATAGTTTATGTTGCGATAGCAATATTAGATTAGCTTATTCTCACATCAAAAAATTGTTATAGAATTTTATTCTGTAAAGCCTGAGTTATTATTAGACAAACAGTAACATTAATTAATTAACGATTGCAAAAATATTTAGTGCGTTTTATGGAACATTTTATTGAATTACACAATTTATTTTACTATATAGTAGGTACTAAAGTAATGAATTGTAATTTAAATAATCATAATTTTGTTACAACTACATAATTACTTACCTGGAATCACTATTTAGAATAGTTATGTTGTAAGAAGCAAAATTTAAAGTACCAACATTTAATAAGCCTAATAGCCTGAAATGACCTTATTTATCAGCCGATAGGTGTTTTTATTTTATGGGTAAAATTATATACAATTATAAATTAAAACAAAAAATAAAATGCAAGAATTTATTAAAAATAAAATAGGTATACATAAAATAATAAATAAAATACTAAAAATATATCCTATAATATAACTGTTTAATTCAGTCAAAGGCATTACAACTTTATATAAAGTATAGGTTCCTAACTTTAATTAAATTACAATGTAAATACAATGCTGTACATAGGTATAATCAGTGCTTTAAGTTAGGTACTTGCAAATTATACATACATGGAATAAGGAGCTTATAAAAATCTTATAAAAAGCTGTAATATGGCCTACGGCTGGTTACTGGAAGATAAGCTCTCTCAGTAGGTGGAATAAGTTAAATCATTTTGGTTGGGGGGGAACGTTAGTACCCAGGCGTAAAATTTCTGAATACGTTTCTGACCAGATAGCAATGAATACAATACTGATTTTAAGTTGGTACATTAAATTGATGTTGACAATGTATTACGTATATTGATTAAACATAAAAATTTATATTATTTCTGTCCTCTATAATAAAGAGTAGAGTATTGTAAAATATAATGTATTATTTAAATCTCTTATTTTGTATATGTAACAATACAAACGGACAACGACAAAAGTTTTGAGTAGAAAACATAATATTAAACTTGTAATGATTTATAAAATATAAACTTTCAACAAAATCCATTTTAATAAAACAATCAATTGAGCTTGCCATCAGTAAATTCTCTTTGGAGAATCTATACTTAAGGTTGCTAATAACAGAATCAATTACACGCATGTAGCCTATTCTTCGCCAGTATATTTCTACTATAGTGTTTGAATCTACTACTTCAATGTCTGCTCTAGTAATTGCAAACATCACATAATCATGCAAATTTTGAGTTTCCCTTCTTTTACGTTTGGATCCTATTATTATAAATTTAAACAAATACAAAAATATAAATTAAATTCCTTTTAAAATAAACATTACTTCATAAAAAAATATAATCACCCATAGTTGGAATTTGTAAGTTTATATTATTTTCATCAGCAAATTTAACTATTTTTTTCCAAACATTATGAAATTCCTCATCTGTTCTTAATTTTTCAAATGTTTTTATAATAAACTCAATAATATTTTTAGATTTACCAAGTGTTGCCGTTTTAATTTGTAAACTATTACTTATTATGTTCATTATACTCAATAAATCTTTAAGAATAATAAGAAATATAATAAATTCACATTTTTGTATAGAACTTAATATGCCTGAAAAATGAAAAATAGTTTATAATTACTAAATTGAACAGTAGTTATTAGTTATTATTTTATTCGTTAATTACCAATAGCTTGAGCAATATCTTTATCAGATTGTTCATTAATTTCATTTTCAAGATATTCAACAATTGTATTAAAATTGTTCAACACAGCCTCGCAATTTTTGTACCTGCAAACCCATCTAGTATCACACATCCTTAACATATTACCTTTTTTTAAATCTAGTTTAGATTATATATCATATAACTTAAAATTTTTTAAAGGTCTTGAAAAATGGATATATAGAGCTTCAAGTAAATTAAATATTGTATGAGCTCCCTAAAACAATGACAATGTATGTAGTTTAAAATTAATAATATTTATAAATATAAGTAGTAGGTATATTACCTTAATATTTTTGCAAATGTCAACAACAACTAAGTTTAGTCGGTGTGCCATGCAGTGGGTGTAAATTGCACAAGGATAATAGTCTTTAATTTTTGATTGGACTCCATTAAGATGACCGGACATAACACTTGCACCATCATATGACTGAGCAATAATATTAACAGCATTCATATCAATTTTATGCTTTTCAAAATAATTAAATATGGTTGAAACTATGTGATTAGGATTTTGTCCAGTTGATACATTTATAAATCCCAAAAAGCGTTAAAAAACTTGAAATTTAACTGTATATCTCACACAAATTGAAAGCTGTTCTTTAAAACATCTAAGTTTAAACAATATATATATATATTTATAAATTATACAAACTATTTAACAAGTACCTATTATATAAAGTTAAAGTAATTATTATTTATTAACATAGGTACCTTGCTTCAACACACATTATTGTGAAAAAAACCTGTTTCAACTATCTGTTTAAATATTTCTTTATTTACTAAATTTGCACAAATTTCAATTATATCTTCTTGAATTTGCCAACTAGTTAAGTTGATTTTTTGTTTATATATTTCATTAAAATTTGGAAGGCGCTTGGCAAATAGTTCACACATTTTTTTTTAATTTCCTAAATAAGTAGGTTACAAAAATAAATTGAATAAATTTAAATTTTAAATTTTAAATAAATAATATTTTCAGATAATTTCATTTAAAAATGAGAAGTATTCAAATGTACAACCTTTATTTGTCGATTTAGATGTTTCTTTGTAACCTCTAAATGCAATGATTTGTTTGCTCAGATACAACACTATATCTATTAACTGAGATACATATTTTCTATTTTTTTCTATTAAAACTTTATTAGCTGTACACATTTTTGATAAAATGGACCCCAAATTCTTACTGAATACATATTCAGACAATCTTGTAGAGCTTAGAATATGTATTTTAGTACCAGTATGAGACTTAAGTTTTGAAGATAACTACTGGTATAAATTGTTTCGATTTAAAAAAATAAAACAACTGTAATATATGTCATATATTAACTGAGTAATATATGAATATTAATTAGAAGAACTTGCTTTTTTCTAATTATTGAACCCAGTTTTGATAAATGTATCTTCAGTATACCCAAAATTGTTAGCAAATATGCGACAAGCATAACAAAATACAGCATTTTACAGCACTATACTCTAACCACTCAAAATTAGCATAATCAGAAGATGAAAATGCGTGATTTTGAGAACCAAATTTTGATTTTGGGTATTCCTAAGCAAAGCAAAAGCAATAATAAGGCATATTAATTTACAATACATCTATGAAATATGGTCATTCATTACTTATTGCAACACTGTTATAATTCATAAATTAATAACTATTAGCAATTGTACTTACCTAATGATTATGTACCAAGTACCAAATGTAATTTTGTATTTACCTTAATTATTGGTCTATTAGGTCCAGATACTAAATCATCTAGATCACCATTAAATGTGTCTCCTGAATTAGATACATTCATGTGAATATTAGCATTTAAACTATCTGCAGTCACCGAAATTAAAATATTGACATTAGAAGCATTTGAAGTTGTAGGATCATTTATATTATTTTGATAATATTCTAGTATACTTGGCTGAGTGTTAGACTTGGACTTATTGAATTTGAAAATATTAAAAGTGTCACGTTTTTCCATATTCAATAAATTGTATAGCAAAAAATAAAATTTATTAATAATAAGCGTTAAAATAAAGACATTTCACATTTGAATAAAATATAGGTATAAACAAATGTTACTATTAAACTCTATTTAGTACACAAACCCACTAACATAATATACGAGCCACGGTCCACGAAATATGAATACGGTTTAATAATAATCACTATAATCAGAATAATATGATAAAAGTAATATAATACAATAAGGGCGTCGACCGTCGGGCACCATGTAAAACTGTAAAATATATAAATTCAAGTTTTATCTTTTCAACAAATAAATTATCATGACGAACACAGATATTGGCTGATACAGTAGCGCAATCAGGAATTTTTCATGGGGGGGGGGGGTCTGACAAAATAAACTAATATACAAATAATAAAAAATTATAATATATATATCTAGAATATGATATTGATATACTATTATACGTACCAAGGGAGGGTCCAGACCCGGAGTCCACCCCCCCTGGTTGCGCCACTGGGTTGATAGTTCGAGATGCCCGAGTTATTTAGTACATAACATAGATAATAAAAACGTGGTCGAAAATACAAAGACATGTGGAAAAACCCACTGTTATTCACTGACTATAATTACACCGAATAACAAGGATTTTCAAACTTGATAATTATTTAATTTAGATAATAAAATTATAGATATAGATGATTAGATTTTATCACAAAATTCTGTAATTCAATATTTTTCATCTAGGAGGGCTATAGAAATATTTAGGGGAACTAAGTCCCCCCCAAGCCCCCAGTTGGGCCTGTCCATAGTTAATGATGAAACACACTACAAAACCAAGAACATTAACACTTGAAAAGGTATTCAAGGTATACTGTAATTTGTACGTATAATAAGTAATTGTAGTTGTTACTTGTTTTCTTTATATCTAATATTGTATCGTACACATATTTCATCGTGTGCAAATATATTTCTTAATTTTTTTTTTTTAAATTAACAAATTTTATCTAGTTGTAATTTTTACAATCTAAAAGTTCCTTGGTCCTAGTTGATAGGACCTATACTTCCAGAGTTACAATTTCGAAAAGTTGAAATGATAATAAAATACTGTATCATATTATATTCCATAACTTTAAGCTGCTAACCGTTGTTACTAATATTATTGTCGATACAATTTAATTTCTAAATGAGTTGAACAACTTTTACTATTTGGAAGATTATCTAGGGATGCATCTGCGTCGATCCTTGAAGATTTTGTCTAGATGGGGCCAGTATTAAAGGATTTAGTTTTGGAGTTAGATTTTTGGAAACATAATAATAAATTGAATTCTTAGACAAAAATTCATAAAAAAAAAAGTCAGAATTTGGACAGTTACACAATTATAAATGAGTATACAATTTTTATAATTTTTAATGGTTTGTGAGGAAAATAGGAATATAAAAATATAATAAGTATAAATATTGTGTTATAGATCTAAGATGTTTTTTAAGCTGCCTTCGCTTCTCCCCTTTTTTTTAAAATATTCTGTGTTCGTTTGTCTGTTAATATAGTAATTATAATATTTTACATACAATTTTTTTAGATTCTTATCTTTAGGTTTTTCATATAATAATGGTGATTTGGTATGCTATGCTTAGGGTTGCCATTTATCCCGGTTTTATAGGCATGTCCCGATTATCCAGTTTGTCCTGGTTAATAGATATTGAGAGAAATTAACATTTATTATTGTATATAGAATAAATATAGAATTATATTGTACAATATTTCAATATATTATAGTTATTTAATCGGCTTGGTTAAACATAATAATAATGTATTTTTGTGTATTAGTTAATAAATATATAAATCACAAAATTATATACTTATTTTTGTTTTTATATGAACGTTACATAAAAAAAAAAAAAATAAGGGGGGCTTAAAATATTATGTCCCGGTTTAGGGATTTCAAAATCTGGCAATTTTAGCAATTTAACCTGCAATTTTTAGATAATAAAAGAAAAATTTGAAAATTTGTAGTTCTACATTATGAGAGTAGAACATCACACAAAAACAAAAATGTTTATTTCAAATTAACTATTATCATATTATTATAATCATTACTTTAAAATGTTATAATATCTATATTAACAGACATAAGCGAACACAAAATATTTCAAAAAGAGGGGAGGAACGAAGGCATCTTAAAAACATATTAAACCTATATTACATTATACTTATTATGTATATTTAATAATTTTTTTTATTATATAAATCCATTCAAATTCCATATTAAATATTTATGCAAACATTTTTGACAAAATCAATTTTTCGTGTGGGGGAGCTGGAAAAATGTACGTCTGTTGCTGCGAAGCCCAATAATTTGGAATATATATAATTTAAAATATATAAAATATGTAATTCAATAATTCTTACATAGCAGACCGAACAAATTGTAACTTTTATCATAATGTTGTATTATGCACAACGTGTTACATGATACAAACGAATGATATAATATTTTTTTAAATATAAACCGATATTGATTATAATAATTATTTATTACCAAGTTAATTATTTAGTATGTTGAATGTTGATGACATATATATTCGATGTTTTTATATGCTAAAATTTCTTGTTGAAAACGGAAAAAAATATTGGTTTAACATTTCCAAAATAATTTACAATATGTTTTTCTATAAAAATAACCGATACTGACTTCATTAAAACTTTTTTATAAACGTATATATTGTAATTAAGTATTAATATAAAAATAAATAATCATTATTATTAAATTTAATAAAAATAGAAAAACATGTGACTCATAAATGTAAAATACCGTAGATGTTTGTATGTAGTATAATATGTTCATTACATTGAAAGTAGGCAACTAAACTTACAACTATGTTGATAATTTTAAGAGAAATTGTATGCCTAATAATTCTCATTTATTCGTTATAATCTATAAATAATATACAATTTTCAATAATTTTCGAAAATATTAAAATTCAGTATTCTATAATAGACATAGGTTAGTAATAATTTTGTGTTTATATTTTATTATGATAGAACCATGTAACAATATTGTATGCATTCTGGAAGGCATGCGATACCAATTATACAACTCAACATATAATTCGGTTGTATCTTTACAATATTGAGCAAAAGATACAAAATTAATTTCATATCCACTAGATATGGTTAATTAATAATTAATAATCATAATTAATATAAGAGTATAATTTAATTTTAAATTAAATTTAAATTTACACTTGTTTTTTTTTCCGACATTTTTGCATTTTTAAAAAATATTCTGGCCACATTCCCAGTACATATTATAAGTTTCTTGACCTTGTACTATTTTATCAAATTTTATCCCCATATAATTCCAAAATAATTGTTGAATATTAATTTTTTTTTTGTTTATTAGACATACGAATGGTTGATTGGTGAATATATTTGATTTATATGAACACATTTAAATATTTAAATATGAACACATATAAATAAATTGAGTAAAGCACGCAACGTAGAAAGCCCTTATTTTAAATTATTCTCATTAATTACAATTTTTTGTATATTTTTCAAACCATTCATATTTTTTGATCCACAGTTACAAATAAAACATCGTTGACTTGAAATACATGTCTTTTAGTTTGTTTGTAACATTCCCATCTACCATTGTCATAATTTAATTGCAATTAATAGGAAAAGAAATATTATTTATCACGATTTCAATGGGGACTAGATATATTATTTCATCTTCAATCGCTTTCACTTCTTTACAAGTATTATGTCTTGTTTTATTTTTATATAAAATTTTATAGATCAACAGTAACGTGTTGAAGACTGTGATAGATTTTTCAGTAATTTATCATTTGTGGAATCTGTCATAACAAAAATCAATCGCCAAGGAACCAGAGAAAATAAAAACATATTTGCATCTGTAAATTCTGTTTCTTGTTCGTAATTTTGTTCATAGCCATCAGAATCGTTATCTCCATCACTATTAGATTGTGTATATTTTTGAATAAAATGTGTATTTTGGTTAAATGCTCGGTGATATTCGGTATTAGAGAAACGTTTTATTGGCATTTGTAGAGAGAAATCGATTATTCCCTTGGAAATCCGTTGGTACGAATAATTCGTTTGAAATTGAATTCAGATACATTTCCCTAGCACCACAATGTTGGAAAATTTATATTATTTTGCGCCATTAATTTTACCATAATATGTAACAATTAATGGCGCAAAATAATATAGATTTTCCAACATTGTGGTGCCAGGGAAACGTACCTGAATTCAATTTCAAATTGGCATTTTCGACATAATACTAGAATTACATTAGTACAATTCGATAGTACTAGATGGGGCAACCATTACCAATGATGAAATGAATTAAAAATGTAATTTTACATAATAGTTTAAATATTTTCATATACTTGATTATCAAATTAATATGAGGAATATTAAAAATTACATAATTAAAGTATTTCAAATTCTAAACATCGTATTTTAAATGGCTTAGTTATTCAACCTTACAATATTCAAAATTATTACATTTTCCGTCTAATCGAGATTTGGTGTTATGTTATAAACATGCAAACGTTTCCCGTAAATTATATTTAACATTATATAATTTATAATACTTCTACTAATGTAATGATCATAAACAAATTATCCATTAAAAGTGTTGAAAATATAATTAGGTCAGTTATTAAATTATTATTTATCATTAATAACAAATGGTTATCACCAAATATTTATATGAGCTCTAAACATATTATATTTCGTAAGTCAGGTCGTACATAATTTCGATCTGAAAAGAAACAAAAGTTCCCAATACTATATTAAAAAATATCGATTCATGTTTAATTTATAAACCGTTCTTGGTACCTAACGCTTTTGCATATTTTATTCTTACAACACGTTTTGAACAATTTTTCATCGATCTACATACACTTATATATCACGACAAGATCAATAATGGTTTTTGTATGCCATCGTGAAAAATAAATCTTGAGTACAAATGCGAATATCTTGCACTAGGGTGACCAAACGTCCCGTTTAAAACGGGATTGTCTCTTTTTTGATCATCACGTCCCGTTGTCCCGACAAACTTCGACTAAAACGCTTTTTAACCCGTTTTTAAAAGATTGTTCCGTTTTAATATCGTTATTTTCATATTAGATAGCTGATAGTGTAAAATTTTCCTAATTCTTGTTAAAAAAATGTAAGAGTAATTATACGTAATAATATATTGTTTAATACTTTAATTGTTATATTAAAAATTAAATTGTTCTAATCCTTTAAAATTATAATACTTTTGAAATGTTACATTGCTGAATAATTAAGAGAAAATACTATTTAATAAAAATTAAAAGAAAATATTTTATTATTTGGGTTATTTTACTAAAAAAGGGTAAAATAAAGAAAATAATAGCTTATGACAGAGATTTGGACTTTAACTCTCGAGATTTATGTGTATATGTGTGAATGTATATGGACGAGAGGTTTTTTCTTTGGTTGGGGAGTAATTAACAGCTGTCCTGTTTTTTATATTTTCATAATATAGTCACCGTATCTTACACGGAGAAATTTTAAAAGAAATTTTAATTTCTTTTATATCGACAATAGGTTTTATATTTTTGTTCGACTTGTTCAAACGCAAAAAACGTCCGTTGGTCCTGCGAATATAATGTTTTTTTTTTTTGTGTTCAATCGAAACGATCCGACCGACAACCATGTCGTACGCATGCTCACGGCCGGTCGTGGTCGTTGTGCGCGGCCGCCGCGGCGAACATCTCGTCCACGACCGCTTGCAAATGTTCGTTCTTGCGCCTCTCCTTGTCCAGTATCGCGCGCAGCGAGTCCGCCGTCTCCGTGGCCGACGACCGGCTCGATCGGTTCCTGTGTATGGTGTCCAGCAGGTCGCGTTTGTCCTTGGCCACCGCTCTCAGCCGGTCGGTGACCAGTGCTAGCCGTGTCCGGTGGCCGCTTGCGTTCCGCACCGCGTCCCGCACGCGTCCCATCAAATCCACAAAGTCGGCCGCGGCCTCCATGTTCCGCCGACCTACAGCTGCCGCCGGCTGCGGTGGCCCAGGCACCAGCGCGCACAGCCGTCTGTTCTCCGCGACCAGCCCGTCCAGCTCTGCCCGGTGCCGCGTGTAAACGTCAAACACCTTTGTCGCGATCGCTTCCAACACTTCCGCGTCTGACGACTCTCGACCCCATACCCTGAGGTCCTGGGCCGCGAGCGGTACGTCTGCGATTTCCTCCGGGATCCCATTCGTCCGGCCGCTGTCCACTGACTTCCGAGTGCCCAAAGCGTCGTGCACGATTCGAGCCACCTGCCGGATGTACGGCACTATATATTATAACAGTCATAGTTCAAACTCATCGAAATGGTATAGGGTATACCGTTATAAACTAATGGATTTCAGAAAGCTAGGAAATAAAGGAAAATCCAAAAAATAAACCTAATCGCATTTTAGTGCGTTCATAAGATTCTCTAGCCGGTCATTCGTGCGGTGGCCATTTTCACGGATATATTTCGAAACATGTTAAAGCGTTTGTAACGTCACAATGAATAATTTAATAAATCTACTCTTTAAAAAGATGCTGCCATGATTTTTTCGACCATTATTCTTCACAAAGACTGATGATTTGGAAACCATGGACTGAAAGTGTATTGGTTTTAACAATAGTCTTTGATCTGAGGATAGTACTTCAGGGTCCCACATATTTTGTACTCCAAACCATAATTTTGGTGATTGAGCAGTAACAAATGTTCGGATTATATTAAAAATGCTACAGGAGATTCCACATCCTTTATTTTCACCAGGCCACATAAAAATTTGTTATGCTTTTTGTTTTCAATTGGATCCTGGATTCGTCAAATGGGAAGTTATAGGTTCGCACAATATTACGTGTGGGACCCAATATGATAGTCAACGGATGGAAGTTATTGAGAAGAAATAAATAAAAGTCTGCACTCAGGTTAGCGTGAACTTATAGAACGATCTATCTGTAGTTACAGTTACGTCAGTATCAGTCTTATTGCTGCCTCCACTTAGATAAAAGACCATTGTGAGGAAGACTCAATACAATACAAATAAGGAACTAGTTGGGTTGTAAAATTTCATGAAATATATAATCTGAGTGTAAAATAAAAATTTTGTTTCATTTCAGTAAAAATATAATGCTTTATGTTTTATTTTTATGGAATACTTTTTGTATTATTAATTGTACTAAATAGAAATAAAAACTAATTTATATAAATTAACAATTAACACCATATTAGTTTACAATTATTATAATTTATAAATATTGATTTAAGAGGTAAGAGACCAATAGTCATTGAAACACCTGAAGAAATTTAATAAAATATAGATGAATTTATAAATAAGTTGCCAGTAGTCCCATTACTTACCAGCTATCACATTATTTCAAAAGTTTCTGATCAAAAAAAATATCGGCTAATATACTATAACTATAAAAATACATAGCACATATTTATAAAATTTATTGTGAATATTATGAAACACACAATATTATACCAGTATCTGGAAATGTTTTTAAAGAAAGATGAAAATTACAATTCAATATTGGCTATATCACGTTAAATGGGAAAGCCCAAGATATCATACAATATCAACTGATTAAATGGCATTTGACAGTCACTATCTCAAACGTAAAAAAAAATATTTTTCAATACTTCATAAAGCGTGAAATTTTAAATTATTTCATGTGAAATATTTCAAATTCACAACCCTTGGAATTAGTAATAAAATATCAGGAAACCCATCAATAAAGAATTAATAACTGAGGGGCATACTGTAAGAAATATAGGAATGAATAGGAGTATGGACCGAAAAAAATAAAGTTATTAATTTAAAAAGCATTTAGTCATTATTCTATAGTTGTTTTATAATACATATATTTCAGTGTTACGTAAACAAACATTTAACCATAAAAAATATTTCCTCAAAATTAATACTTTTGGTAAAAATCAAATTATACACACTTACGGTACAATAGACAAAATTACTATTACATTATTACCTACATTTTAAAAAGTTCACCATTTATGCATGTGTAATGTATGATGAATATATTAAAACAAGTTTATTAATAGGTAATTTGTATTGAATGTGGATGATCATGTTTCATAGTCAACATTACCACGTGTTCAACTAGTTCATTAAATACTATAATTAAATTTAAGTAAAATAATAATTATACCATGTTATTAATATTTTATTATTATTATATTATTCTAATTATCTGTATTCTAAAGGTACTAAAGTTTTAAAAAAATACGAAAAAAATAGTTATTGTTGCTCTAATCCAAGTAGAAGGGGCACCTATATTATTTCTCAACATTATTTGGGAACTAGAAAATAGTAATCCTTGAAAGTTTTATAATATTCCATAATAATTTCGAGAGTAGGTTTACCACGGTACATAACTTTCAAATACTACACTATTAAGTATTTTCCCAGATTATTTACTTATTATAAACTTAACAAAATTACCACGTGTTCAATTTTTTCGATGTTTTTGAGTTTTGTTGAACCTGTTTCCTTAGCTAATTTTATACATTTTTCATGCGTTTTTATTAGTTTCGTAGATGTTTTTAGCAATTCTTTTTGTTTAGCTTTATAATCATGAAGTTTAGATATGAATAATTTTTCTTGAATATTATTGCCAATTAATTTTAAAAGTTTTTCGCCTTTTACGTTATGAGTATTGTTAGTGTTTGTTTCGTGTGTAGTGTTATTCATAATGTTAATGCGAAAAATTTGAACTTTTTATTAATAAAATGTATGTACGTATAATACTTTATATTTACGTAGTCATTGGCAACAAGTAAAAAAAAAAAAATAGCCAAAATAATAATTTTTTTTTATTCATATTTGATATTTAATTGGATTATCACAATAACAACAATATTATTTATTTTTTTATTATTCCAAACGTATACATTTATATTTAAATTCAATAATAACAGATAGTATGAAATTAAATATAAAAGTAAGACTAAAAAATTATTTTATGTATTCAATAACTAAGTACATTATTTATTTGGTGTATTTTGGATTAAAATTATAAAATAAAAATATTATGATAATTTTTATAATTTTTTGTATGGTGTACTTTAGATTAAAATTATAAAATTAAAAAAAAATTATCATAATTTAAAATACAGCTTGTCCATAAAAAATATTTCAAAATATTTTTATTTTAACTATAAAAGTGAATGTATTTCTATGAACTCATATTTTTTATTTATAAAGATTATAGTAATAATATTTTGACATGAGGTATAAATGTACAATTTTACATTTTAAATATTATAATGATTTATTTTTTAATATGAACAATTCAGGTTATTGTTAAATATATATATTTGAAATACAATTACATTTCACAAATAGTTAAATGTATTTAAAATACAGAAATAAAAATTGCAGCAATTTTACAATTTACAATTAGTGTATTTTTGTAATTTTGTACTATAATTTTAACATTACACAATTAATACAGTTTTATTACTATTTATTTGTGATAAAATTCGATTTAACTAGACTACACATATTATGAGCGTAGTGCGTTGTAGCTAAACCCATAATTTATTATAATTATAACTTAATAATTATTTACCAATCTAATATTTTTAATGCTAATATCATACTAAAATGTCTATTATATTTAACTGTTTAATACACAATTTACAATTTATAATACTACAATATATATTTATCAAATCGTTTTCACTTTCATAAGCTTCAGAAATCGTGAGAAAACAATTAATGATTTTTAATAAATAATAATTGCCATGAATTATGGTAAACGTATTGATATACTTTGTATTGAAATTTTCATTAATCGATTATGAATGTTCTTACATGGATTTGAGCAAGTTATGTTTTAAAATAATCATAAAAATGGACGTAAATAATGGTCTAGTAGTAAAAAAAATAATTGTACAAAAACAATGGGTTTTAAATGTGAACAAAATAATACATCATAAAATTGACTAGCTATGTAAACACGGTCGTTTACAGATGTTTCAGACTGTGTTTGATTCATTTGAACAGTGTTTTTACAGGCATTCTGGTCCCATCTACAACGTTAAAGTCCAGAAGGTAAAACATTGATGTACTCCTAGAATCATAAGAAAATTCGGTAATTACCACTGGCTTACCATTTACCGCCTACTCCACTGATCCGACAAGACTGGACTGAGTACTTGGAATGGATTTAAAACAATTTATGACCATACTTACAGTGTTGTTTTTGTAGCATACTGAAGAACCGTTGAACGGTGTGCTTCAATCGTGCCTGGTCTTCCTCGTTCGAACTGTCATGGTACTTCAATGGCACGATGCTATCCTGGGACTGTGGAACAATATCTGAATGGTCTTTTTTGGGCACGCTGCGCTTTTTTGAGCGCACTGCGGCAAATCCGTCACTTTCGCCGCTGCCGCTATCCTCGCCGCTATAATTCACCGTGGTCGGCAGAAAAAAGTTACCAGGGAAACGGTCCACCGCTTTCTGTTTCGATTTGGTCGCTTTGCGCAAAGGCTCCGAGACCCGTTCCTCCGAGGTCGAAGCCGAGTCGTGTTGGTCGCTGCCGTAGTTGTTCTCCTGCGAAAAGTCCGGTTGCAGCTGCTGGCCCGAGAACGCAGTCAGCTGTTGGTTGAACTCTTGGCTGTTGGCCGGCTGCTGGAACTCGAAGCTCTGCAATTGGTATCCCTGACTGGGGATCTGCTCGACGCTGTCACTGCCTCCGCCGGTCGCCGGCAAACGGTATTGCGTGTTTGGCACCTGGTACCCCGGGTTCTGGTACCCCGAGTATCCTTCCGCTTGTGGCAACTGGTAACCGCCCGATTGCGGCAACTGGTAACCTCCCGAATACGCTCCTTGATTACCACTCGTTTGTGCTCCTCCTTGAAATCCGTTTCCTTGTGTCCCTTGGGATCCGCTCGTTTGCGCCCCTTGGAATCCAGGGAACGGGTTTTGGAACCCGGTGTTCTGTAAGGTTTTGGTGTCGGTCGGGCGAATACCATTCGACTGTGACGATTGTTGACCGAGCATCTGTTGTATGCTCTGAGACGCTGCTGTGCTGCCTGGTAGGCTTTGAGGCATTTTGATCGGTTTGAATATCACTAATCCCGCTCGTACCCCATCTTTGTCCACTGCAACAACACGCATGAATTGTAACTATTAGTATAATATCGAAAACGTGATAAAATCTACTCGTCACTTTCGTCCGCTACCCTCGTCCGTTTTCTAGTGACTTAAACGTCTGCCATTATCTCTACATTTATTATTATGTATCTAAGCATTTATGAGCTTGCGTGTTCGTGACTCTAATATTACACTCTACTCACGTATAAAACTGCCAATTTATAGAAAGTTACAATTCAGGCATGAGAATTAGTGTCTACGGGGGCATCGAGTTCATTCAACAATGCAACCACGTAATATTCGTCTTGGCTCATTGACGGGCTACAAAAAAATGTTCAGGAATTTTTTGGAATGCCATATTGTTAGTGAACAAATTAATGTTTATAGACGGCGAACAAAGCTATTTTTGAGTATAATTTAACATTTTGTTTGTGAATGTATTTTTTTTAACGTATTAATGATTGTACTAAATAGTAATCATTATTCATAACCAACAATACAATAACAATATAATTCCACCGGTTTAAAATAATTTCGATTTTGACGTTTGGAAGTTATGCTAGACATTAGTAGATATTTATCAAACATGAATTATATAATACATATAAGAAATATAATCAATTCTATAAAGAACCGTATATGCCTTAAATATCTTTGAATAATATGTGAAGAGATACGGAGAAAACGATAATAGTCAATGTTCCTAAACTGTTAAGAATTGCAGTTTTAAAGTTCCAGCACTCAAAAAATTAAGAGATGAAGTACGAAATAAGTCAAAAAAATCTACTGTGATAACAAAATTCATTTTTGATAAAATTAAAAAAATTTAATTTACTATTTAAAACAAATGAAAATATGATATAATTATCATATATTTTTTTTTTTTTACAATTATTGTTCTTCCCTGTAGTCCTTCATATTTTTAAAATGTTGTACCTGAATAATGGATTCAATTACTGTTAACGTTATGTGTCGACATAGCTTACAACGTAAACAGAATGTTATCGTTTCAACACAAATTTACTTACAGTCACTTTTCGCTTGATTGTTAGTCGATTCTTGTGGGCTTTGTACCGCTCTTTTTGCCGTAAATCCGTTACCACCGTATCCGATGTAACCAGAACCGCTTTCGTAACCGGTCTGTGGCACTGCGAATCCTGTCTGATAATTTTGAGCAGCAACTTGGTACGCATTGTTGGGGTGCGTTTGGCTAACGAACGTGTTGCTGGAATATGCGGGAACCGGGTACACGTTACCAGAGTACATTTGTCCCTGATATCCCAACGCGGTAGCAGCTCCATAACCTGTAAGCAACGAGTCTGCTTAGATTTGAGAAAATAAAAATAAATTAACAAACTAAATGGAAGTTTTTTACTGGTAGGTTGATGCATCGGCGTGACGGGCAATTGGTTATAATAACCTATTGCGGATGGTGGTTCATCGATATGTGAATCGTGGTGGGTATCGAACGCATGTGTCGCAATGGTTTTCCCAAAGTTTGAAATCGCTTCACCCTTGGTCTGCATTAGCTTTCCTTTGGCCACGACTACGTGACCATTAGCCTTAATAAGTTGACCTTTGAGAGCAATCACTCCACCTGTTATCGCTTTCGCGGCTTGAAACACCGATGATATAATCGCCTTTTTGACGCCCCATAAATTAAATGATTTCGTATTGTAAGACTGAAAAGCATTTGTTGATGTGTCACGGTATTAAAAATATAATCGTTTAGTGATATTATCCATGTATGGAAAATTTCATATCATCGTTATAGTATTACTAATTTGACCTACCAACGGCTCTTCATAATGTGATTGATGGTCGATAGATTTTCCCGATGACGTCCCGGATAGAGAGTTGAATAATCCTAATTTTTTCTTTATTAGTGACGAAAAAATTTCACCAGATCTCTTGGTTCTTGTATCGTCGTTATCGTTTTTCACACCATCTGGTTCGACGTGATCCAAGGGATCCAGGGACGTTGCTTGTGTGACATAACCACCAACAGCGAAAATAACTATTGTTAACACGAAGATCTGTAAAAACACATACCTTGATGGTAATATTAATGACTACAATAATTGGTTTGTCGCAATGATATTATATCATAGTGTGTGTATCAAATCGCAGAACTAATTTCATAAATACGTGTGGAAAAGCAGCTAATGTCACATTCATCGGGTTTTGAAATAATTTTTGCTGTCTTAAATTGTGATTAACAAGTTATATGATGACCACAGTTCAAACTACGGTATTAGATTTATTATTTGTCTGTATGGTAGGAGAAAGTTTAGATTCGGTTAATATTGTTATTACGGAACTCGTTTATCCTGCTACACCTAGCTAGTTCCGGTCATCTTGAAATGAAAGTAATGTGTTACCTCATTTAGCCACTGCTAAATTCACAGAGTATTGGTTATTTATTATAACATATGTCGTACGTAAATACAAATAATTAAGTACAATTAAAAGTAATTAGACATCCAATTGCAGCAGACTGACGCTGTTGTAATGATTACTACACTAACTTATGTGTAATAATATAAATGTACGTTAGGCACAGCCCTATACAAACTACGTACACTACCAGTAATAATGGTTGAAATCAAACGTTTGATATCAGATGTGATATGATTTGCATGGCCGAGAAGTTTATAGCTAATTATATTAATTCTAAAACTGATATGTACTTTATTTTATTTGTTTCAGGCCATTATTAATTTTTTAGGTTGATTGTTTTAATAGATTTTAACTATAGTTATACTTAAATCATAAATAGTATTTTTAATCAAAAAAGAATTTTGAATTTTATTTGAATAATAAAAAATAAAATAATAACTAGGAAGTATAAACAAACATTGAGAAAATTGTATAATAAACAATTTTTTTCATTAACATAACTTTTGTATATAAATAATTGGTCTCAGAATTGTTTAACACGATTGTGAAAGTATGTACGTTGTTCGAATACTCATACGTACGTTAGCTTATAAAATTTGTTTTCCAATTGAATTTAACGGTAGTAATAGATTAAAATACTATTGTCTACATAAATTTAAACAAAGATTATTGATAAGCCAATGTGAAATTGTTTAAATAAATAATTAATTTACAGTTTAAATCTTTGAATAAAAACATGTGTTTTTTTTTTTAAAAAATTATATATTCTAATATATCAGGGTTTATTCTAAGGATTTTTACCTACTGCCCAAACACACTGAAAAGAGTTTTATGAAATTTAATTGAATTATAATACTTACCCCCTTCCCAAATAAATTGTATATGGATACTTTATCATTTTGTCCATGGCATGGTAAAATATTAAAAAAAATACGGATTTTTTCCGTTATTCATATACCACTATTTAAATTTAAATTTCATAGATTAATTAATCATCAAAGTAGCAAAGATTGAAAACTTTATATAATTATTACTTATTAGGTACTAGGTTGGGTTTATAAATTACACACATTTCAAATACTCAGTAGAAATTCTATTTTATTATTTTAAGGAAAATTATATTTTCTAAGGTGCCCATATTCATAATGTCCACTGCCCTACTGAATTTCCTGCTACTCAATTTGGGTTTTACTGCCCGTTAGAATAAGATCTGTAATATATTTTATAAATATACATATTTCTTGAAATTTATGTTTATAATAACCATTATTAAATATTTAAAAACAAATGAAAACAGGTTTGAATGAGTTTTTTTGTTGATGGGATAATGGAACATTCTCACGACAATGAAAGGTATTGTTTCTATTTAAAAAAAATGACAAATAATTTTAAAATTATGACAAAAATGTTGATAATGAATCTAAAAATAAATATATGTATAATATATAAAAATAAAAACTAGAAAAACAAAATATATCTATAAAGTCTATCAGAGAAAATATGTTTCAATAACACATATTATCTAGTTAAAATTTTTATTTTTCTACGGAGTAGTAATTAATAATTTCCTTAGAGTTATATTATTACAGTTATTTTTTTTTTTGTTTGTACATATATATTTGTCTTTTGCTATTGGAACCTGTTTTAAGAAAGATTGTTATTGCATAGTTACGTAAAGCAAAAACTACATGGTTGACCCTAAACGACCCAGACCTTCCTTTCTTGATTCTGCAAATATTTTTAGTACCTACTCAAATACATAAAAGTGAAATTGTTTAGGCAGAAAAAATATATCAAATTATTTTTTAAATTATTTATTTCATTTATTATGACGTGCCTAATTATTATTTTTTATAATAATTGGAAACTTTTAAATCGATAGTAAATATGTTTATTTTTTTGTTTTAATAAATGAAAACAATTAAAAGATTTTATTTCTTGATTTTTTTGAAAGAAATATTTTTCCTACTCTAATATTACGATTTATTTGTAGCTGATATTTGTATCAACGCTTATATCTATTATCATAAAAAGATTCTTTGTGAATGTTATAGAATAATATAATATTTTATGTGCATTTATTTAGAGTACTAGAAAAAAGTATAATAAATATTTTAGAAGAATTAAAATAGAGTGGGAATACTAAAATTCAATTTTATTGTTGTAACAGCGTATGCCTATTAATATTATTACTTTTGTGTTACTATTATGTTATGTTAAATAGGCATGTTACAATGTACAAATTTCGTAAAAAAATAATAATAGTGTTTTCAAATTAGTGTGAGATATATCATTAAAAATTAAATTAAATAGTAAAAATCAAGACTATCTTCTTGTCGACGTGATGACGTTATTAAAAATAAAAGGGAAACGCTTTCATTTTGGGTTCCGGAATGAGTGATTGCTTGGTCCTTGTATAGGCAACATATATAAAATATTATTCTTATGACATAATGGTCAACTCAGCATACGTCATAAAAATTTTGGAAATAAATAATATAATATAGAATATTATTCTCCTTTCGTTTTCTATTTGATATAAAATATTTGATATGTGAATAATGTGATAACTTCGTTACCAAATTCATACCTGTTTATATGAAATAAATACTTGAAAACTCGAAAATCCAAATTAAATCTTCTCGTATATACCAATATATTGTTGCGTATTTAGAGTATACGCATTTGTTGGTATTTATTTTTAGTAATTTTGTACCAAACAATGTGGAATATGTATAGTTGTTTTAATGCTTATTTTTAAGTGCAATTGCGCAATATTTATGGCACGCTTCTTAGTTAAACACATCTCCAACTAACAAGGAAGTACAGAGAAATAATAATTAGTTATGGAAAAATGATAAAACAAGATAAAAAAATTTAAAAAAAACTTGCATTGTTACATAATTTTACGTTACATTATGAAAATTATAATCAGTATCCGTCAACGGCAGTACGAGTACAAGGTATTACTACTGGGTATACCTACTAGAAAAATAATTTATGAAACTAATTTTAATTTGCAGTGATTGGTTTTACTATCACAATGATAAGAATTTGCCTTCTAGTAATGAATTCATAAATGCATGGAAAATGGAAGATTTTTGAATTCTAATGTTTTTATATAGGATAGATAAGGTAATGTATAATTTAATATTATTTTATGATAACAATGAGTTGGTGCATACTATAAATGTACGTATATTATAAAGGAATTGTATGACATAATTTTACCAATTTCTTTTGTTAAGAACATCTGATTTTGATTGAAATAGTGTTAGTTCAGTTTTTTTTTTTTTTTTATAAGAATGTTTATTTTATTATTACATTTTTATTACTACAGAAAGTATGAATAAGTCTTAATATGACTATGGTTTGCAATTTTCTAACAAAAATAATAACATTGAAAATGAAAAAGTACAACTAATTGAATAATTAATGTTTATGTTAATATTGATGATATTTCACTATTTTAAGGTAATACTCAAAGTGAAACTTTATTAAGATACCTACAACACAAAAATATATAAGTTAATGAGCATGGTGATGTATACGAAAATCAACATTCGGTAACTCAATGAAGACGAGAAATATATAACCTATATCTGGAGTAATAAATTTATAATACTCCTTTGGTTGGTTCAATTATTTAAATATTTAAATATTTTTGAATAACAAAAAATTAAAATTTATAATCGTTTAACATCTTTTAGGTAAAACTACGTTTAGATTCTGCACATAATGGTGAAAAGAAGAAATTATCGTTCCATTGATTTTGTTCTTTTTCATCTAATCTAAGATTAAGGATAGTACAATATTTATCATAATACATTACACTGATAAATATTATTAAGTAACTAATTTAAGTCAAGTATTTGTTTACAAATTATTTAAAATTGTAAATCAAATTTATAATTTATTTCTGGTTTGTATTGAAATAAATAATTGTGATAGTTCAAAATTAAACAGCAGGTTATCATCATTCATTAAAGAAAAATACTTTTTTAAATTACTCGAATACTACAAATCTAATATTTTTAAAATGTATAATCATAACACTGATATAAATAAATAAAATATTTTTTTTAAAATTGCGTAGTGTGACATATTTAATGTATCTATGTATTACATACATATATGAAATGTAATTTGTAGATTGTACCAGAATGCATATTTGGATCTATCTGTTAATTTAACATTTAGATCACTCATCATTAAAATAAAACTACTGTAACATTACTTTTGTTGAAAGTCATCGGATTATATAACTTCAACTTTGTTCGTAAATGAAAGAGACAGAAATTCCAATATTGAACGACAAAACAGAACATTTATGTTGCATAATATTCTTAATATTCACGAAAATAATAGTTGAGTTTATTATTTATATTTTATATTGTTGTGAATTTGAATTATGCTCTTTTCTATAAAAGTGCTGAAACTTTAATTTACCTATTGTAAGAATAATATAGTACCTTTATTCTACGAAATAATGATAAAAGGTATGATGATTTAAAAATTAATTATTTAACAAAGTATAAAATCTAGTTTATAAAAAAATGTTACAGTCAATCGCGTTTTTTTTTTTTTTTTATATGGAAAACAATTTATGATAATGTGTCTTCTGATGATAATATTG